CTCCAATATAGGTAGACACGAGACCTCCAATATAGGTAGACACGAGACCTCCAATATAGGTAGACACGAGACCTCCAATATAGGTAGACACGAGACCTCCAATATAGGTAGACACGAGACCTCCAATATAGGTAGACACGATCTCCAATATAGGTAGACACGAGACCTCCAATATAGGTAGACACGAGACCTCAAATATAGGTAGACACGAGATCTCCAATATAGGTAGACACGAGATCTCCAAAATAGGTAGACACGAGACCTCCAATATAGGTAGACACGAGACCTCCAATATAGGTAGACACGAGACCTCCAATATAGGTAGACACAAGATCTCCAATATAGGTAGACACGAGACCTCCAATATAGGTAGCCTTCCAACCAAGATCTCCACAAAGTCTGGCTGGGGTGCAAGGGCAGCGTTGTCTAACCACCCAAGCCAGATCTTCCTATATTTAGAGCCACCTCTCTGGGTTTTGGTTAGACTTTCCAGGTGCAGGATAGAGTTCAGGTTATCTCTCCAGAGACGTGCGGTGGGAGGTTGAGGTGATAGCCAATGTTGTGCTATAGCGTTCCTGGCCAGGTTCTAGTTATTGTCAGCTCTATGTGAGGGACATCAAAGAGAATGTTCTATGATATTAACTAAAATCGATAGAGCAAGCCATGGTCTCCACTTCCTGTCACCTAAGCTGATATGTCAGCTGATGGCTTTCTTGGCTATACTCTGGGATTTGCTGGACTGAACCATTATCTGGTGTCTTCTATCTCTTCCTGTGAGATCATCCTTTTAAGAAATAAAGAAAGATTTGGCTTTAATTCGATGTAAAACAATGACCTCCATTTACCTCCTCTACCTGGAGGTTTTACTAACCCATCACAGCATCACTGTGATCACTGACCATTAGGCACAGAAGGGGGTGGAGGGTTTCTGCGAAACATTATTAAAGCATTTGTGTAATTAAAAAAAAAAGGTGTACTTATCCTTTTTGCCCCCCTCCCAAGACTGAAGTGATCCCATCCTCCGCAGATCTGTACTTGCCAAGATCCGACGGGCACAGTTTCCCTCTTGTGTACATCAGTTGCCGCAATGCTCCCTCTGCTGGCCACACCGGCACATTACAGCCCCATAGACCTCTATCGGGCCTGAAAAGGAAGACTTGCAGCGTGGGATGACAACAAATAGCAGACCAGCGGCCCCTGGATTAGTGTGGGATCATTAAGGTCACGGGAGGGGGGGGGGCAAAAATATGAAGTGTACTTTGCCTAAAAGTACATTTATTCTTTCATTTTTACATTTGTTCCATTAGGGTGACAATATAGTATTTCCTGTAAGCTTATCTACATACATATTATTATTAAGTCAGGTTAGGACTAGGGATGCACCGATACTGATACTAGAATTGGTATCAGTGCCGATGGCGAGTACTTGGGTGGGTACTCGTACACGCCCAAATGTTCCGATGCCTAGCCCGATACCCGAGCTTCCGGTATCGGAAGCCAGGCCAGCTCCATGCTCCCTCCTCACTTGGGAGGAGGGAACATGGAGGCGGCTTCCCAGCCAATCAGGAAGCCACGGGCTGTGTACAGGGCCGGATTTACTCTCTCTGCTGCCCCACGGCCAGTTTCCTCAATGCACCCCACTATCCAGCCCTGGAGAATGGCCGACCTGCAGGCTGCATACAAGTGAACTCGGCAACAACACCAAGATCACTTGTACAAAACAAGCGGCGGCTTCCCCGCTGTACAATTATCTCAGCTTGCCCAAAGTCGGGATAAATGTAGAAAACAACTACCCGCCCGGCACCCGGAACAGCATGTCCCGAGCATCGGGAGATAGGAATTCCACACCCCTGCTGCCCCTCCACTCCCTGCTGCCGCAAGGCTGGGCCTTGGTTGGCCTTGCGGGAAATCCGGCCCTGGCCGTGTAATGACGCAGCGCCCAGCTTTCTGATTCGCCGTGAAGCCGGCTTCCTGCTCCCAATCAGGAAGCTGGCTCCATGATCCATGCTTTCTCGTCATCTAGTGGCGAGAAGCATGAGGACGGCTTCCCTGCTAATCGGGAAGCCGAGTGGCGAGTCTTTACACGCTGCCTGGCTTCCTTAATGGGCCTTCTAGTATCTGTATTCAATATCGGCGAGTACCCAAAAAAAAATATTGGTGCTTGATACCAAAAAGACGATATCAGTGCATCCCTAGTTAGGACCACAACACAGGTTAAGTCAATTCTGTATAAAAGTGATAATACAGTCTGCAGGGACCAAAGAACTCTGCCCCTGTCCCCCTTGGAGCGTTGAGGGTTTAACCAATCTCAAACATTGGAGTGGCAGTGGACGGTGTTCAGACATCTCTTCACCACAATCCTTGAAATCTATAAAGAGCAGGGTATGGTTAAAATCCCGACCCCTTGTTAAGGAGATGTCCCTTCACTTGCTATCTAGAGACACAACAGACGAGAGATGTTCTCTCCAAGGTGAAGGGAATCTTCTCTTAGTTGCCACCAGATATAGTGTCCCCATTGGAAGTATTTCCCCCTCTATTTCTCCTCTATGCCTGACCCAGAGACAACTCAAACATTTTAGATTTTCTCTCACTTTTCAGTCTCCGGACAAACAGAGGGGGTGAGTCTTCCCAGCTGGGACACGTCATCGGGGGAACCCTTCTCTAGTCTATCTAAAATTTTCAGAAGCTACCCTTCGGTACACTTTGATCCTCCAGCTCCCATTATATAGAAAACTGGAATGTCACTTTTGAATGAATTGACTCTTTTACATTTCTCTCCCCCCGTCAAGCTTTGAACTTTAATATTCTCCAGTAAAGTCTTTTGAATCCATGTTGAATTTCCTTGGTCTTCACGCCATAGACAATTGGGTTGATTATCGGCAGGAGAAGATAACTCAGAATCTCTGTAAGTGTCTTCAGATACAGCGGAGGCTCTGAATAATAGAGGAAGAGAAAGAGTGGGAAGCTTGAAGAGACCTAAAACAAGGAGAGCACGGTGGCGTGGGAGCTGCAGGTACTGAGCGACTTCCACCGAGCTTGTGAGGACTGAAGCCTGTGAATGACGTTCAGAATGTTGACGTAGGAGAAAATGACCAGCATGTTGTCCCCTCCGGGGAAGAGGAAAATAAGGACGATCATGTATATAACTGAGGAGGTCAGGCCTCCACACCAAAGCTTTATAATTTCAATGTATTCGCAGTATGAGTGTGAAATGACATTCACCTTGCTATAGGTCATGTGGGCCGCCATTGCTGGAATGGGAATCAGCAGAAGGGTAGACCGTGAGATGATGAACAAGACAGATTTCACCATAAAAGAGCTGCTCATTATTACGCAGTGACGGAGAGGGTGACATATGGCCACGTACCTATCGAAGGACATTAGGGCAAAGAGTGAAGACTGGGTCCCGAGCATGGCATACAGGACATACATCTGGACCAGGCACAATGAGTTGCTGATGGTGTTGGAGCTAAACCACAAAACTGCCAGAGATTTGGGAATGACGGAGGAGCACAAGCTGAGGTCTATGAGTGCCAGGAAACATATGAAGACATGCATGGGTTCATGCAGCTTTCTGTCCATCTTCACGATGGTAATTATGGAGCAGTTGGCTACTATTGCCATCAGATACATCACCAGGAACACCAAAGCAGCCAACGTCTGGTGGCCATTGATCCATGAGAGACCAATGAGAACAAACTCAGGAGGGATTGGGCCACACACATCCGATGAGTTCATCTTCACATCTGAAAGGTAAAACATGAAAATTCGGTGTTTAGTCTTTCGCCACTGGCTTTAAAAAAAAAAGAGGTCAAGCATTTTCTTAGCCGTGTTTGATGCGTGAAGTTTATTTTTCCGTTTGAAAATACACTATATGGCCAAATCTTGTGGACACCTGGCCATAACACTTACCTATAGGGCCCAAATGATATGGCCATCATACCTACCAAATGGGCAAAATGATGTGGACACCTGGCCATCACACCTATCTACTGTATATTAACACCTAGCTATCTCCCTCACCCTACTACTGTATATGGCAAAAAGTACAGGAAGATACCTCCTAATGATGGAGTTCAGTTGTTTTCAGTGAAGGACACTATTAATACTCCATAATACAAAGACAATGTAGAAAATTGGGCTCTTTCAACCTTGTGGTAACAGTTTGGTGAAGACCCTTTTCTCTTCCACCATGACTGTGCCCAGGTCCATAAAGACATGGTTTAACCATTTTCGTGTGGAGGAACTTGAGCGTCCTGCTCAGACCCACAACCCCAACCCTACTGAACACTACTGATGAGTGAATCTGCCCAGGTTTGATTTTCCAAAGGTTCAGTGAATCTTTCTGACTCAGACTTGAGACAAATCCCAATTAAGTCTTTGGTGGGAAACCTTGGTGTTCTGGTCATAGCGGGTAATAGGCAAACTACTGTGAAAAAAAAATAAGGCATGGAAACTGGGCACTGTCATGGGTAAATTTTGCATTTACCAATGCAAAAAATAAATAAATGCTCTACAGTGGGGGTTGGCTCTTTTTATGTGGCTTCAAGGACAACAATAAAAATACACAAATCCTGATAAATAACACGCTTGGGGGATGCCTTGAAGCTGTACGAGATGTTATGGAACTGTACAATTTTCACGGACAGCCTCAACTGCTGTATGTTAGTTTGGCTTACACTAAGCAAGACAAGCAAGACATTTAATAAGAGAGAATAGGCAGAGACAAAACACACAAGCTGGAATTGTACTACAAGAATTACGAGACTGCAGATCATAGAGCAGGATACAATTGGCCAGCAGCAAGACACTTTTAATCATAGATAGTAGGCCTAACTGGTGCATGCCTAACTTTTATCTATCTCTGGGGATGGGGGGGAACAGTGAGTGTGGGTGATACAATATGAGGTGGATTGGAAGCATGCTGTTCTTACAAAGGAAAGGAAAAAAGAAAGCAGTTCTACCTAAAATAAAGGCCCAACTCACCCTAAAATAAAAACCAGTATGTCTCCAAAATAAATACTCCAATTGTAAGTCAGGTCTTCTCCACCCATACGAGTGGAGACAGCTCCATAAAGACATGGTGTGATGAGTTTGGTGTGGAGGAACCCGAGTATCCTGCTTAGAGCTCTGACCTCAACCCTACTGAATACCTTTGGGATGAACTAGATGAGAAGATCTGGATCACAATCGGCATCCCAATATCAGTACCTCACAACTGGGCACAAGTTCCCACCGACACCCTCCACAATCTTGAGGAAAGCCTTCCCGGAAGAGTGGGTGCTTTTAACTATAAAGTGGGGACGGTTACATATTAATGGCCATGGTTTTGGAATTGGATGTCCTACAAGCTCATACAGGCGTGATGATTAGGTGCCTACAAACATTTGACGACACAGGATAACAGGATAAATCTGATATTTAGAGTACAGATTTTCAGAAAATGGAGATAAGGGAAAATACCATTTTAAAACTGAAACGAAACCGAAATAAAAAAATTGTCAGGCTGAAACTGAAAACAATATAGAAAATGTTTTTTTTATTTTAATTTTTTCAAATGTTTTAAATATTTTATTTTTATTTATTTTTTAATAAACTTTTACATTTCTTTATATTTATTTTTATTCATTTTTTATTAAATATTTTAATTTTTTACTTTACTTTTAGGGGCT